AAGGCAATCATCATCGATGGGTATCCTTTGCCGCACGTTGAAGAGTTGTTAGAGATGTTTCATGGAGCCACTTGTTTTTCTAAGCTAGACTTAGCGTCAGCTTATCACCAGCTGTTGTTAGAGGAGAGCAGTAGGGACTTAACGACGTTCATCACGCATGATGGCTTGTTCAGGTTTAAGCGTGTCTGTTTCAGTCTGACGTCCGCCCCTGCGGTTTTTCAAAAAATGATGTCCCAGATTTTAAAAGATTGCAAGAATGTAATTTGCTATCTGGATGATGTCCTTGTGTGGGGTAAGACTCAGTCTGAGCATGACGCGAGCCTAATTGAAGTCTTGACTTGCATAGCCAACAGTGGCATGAAGTTGAATGATAAATGTCGTTTTTCCGTGAAAGAACTTAGCTTCTTGGGACACCGGATTTCAGCTGATGGCATATCGCCGTTAGAAAGTAAAGTAAAGGCTAAAGTAAATGCCCCAGCTCCTACAGACATTAAGTCTTTACAGTCATTTTTAGGTCTGGCAGGATACTATGCCAAGTTCATTGATCACTATGCAGACCTAGTTGAACCGCTTCGCCTCATGCTCAGGCAGGGCCAAAAGTTTTGCTGGTCGGAGGATGCCCAACGCAGTTTTAACCAGTTGAAAACGCGCACAGTTGAAAACGCGCCTGACTTGTTCGTCTGTCATTAAGGTGTTTAATCCTCAGCTACCTGTGGTGGTTACAACCGATGCATCTGACGTGGGCATCGGGGCTGTGTTACAGCAGCGGTATGGTCCTAAGCTTGAAACAGTAGCCTTTGCGTCGAGAACCTTGTCAGATACTGAAAGAAAGTACTCTGTGGGTGAACGCGAAGCGCTTGCCTGTCTATTCGCATGTGAAAGGTGGCATATTTACCTCTGTGGTAGACGTTTCACCCTTAGAACCAACCATCAGGCTGTAGTTGCTTTTTTAGCCGCAGGTGATGCAGGCCGACGGCCTTTAAGGATTTCGCGGTGGTCAGCTAGACTTTTGTATTACAACTTTGACATAGAATATTGCAAGGGCTCAGAAAATGTGGTCGCTGATGCCCTGTCTAGGCTGCCAATTCAGACCTGTCCAGAATTTAGCAAGGATGAAGAAATAGTGTCTTTAGTGACATCTGTAGTTGACAAAGAAACCGTCCAACTTGCAACGAATGCAGATGTGACGTTGCAAAAAGTCTGTGAATGTGTATCCAAGGGCTGGCCTTTTAAGAAGCATATAAACAATGAGTTAATGGCTTACTTTCATGTTAGGAATGAACTCTCTTGTGTTGATGGATTACTCATGCGTGGTGACCGTGTAGTCGTTCCTAGTGTTCTGGTACCTACTTTCCTCCAATCAACACATGAAAATCATCAAGGGATAGTACTTACTAAGCAACTTCTGCGTGAAAGGTATTGGTGGCCCCAAATGGATCGTTCTGTAGAAGAACACGTCAAGCATTGTCACATCTGTCAGCTGACAGACAAGCCAGCCAAGCCGCGTGTAGCACCGTTGCAGACCGTTGAATGGCCTGAAGGGCCGTGGCAAAAGTTGGGTATGGACATTGTCGGCCCGTTAAATGTACCTTTCCCCAGGTATCTTGTTACCTTAGTCGACTACTATTCAAAATGGCCTGAGGTTCTTGGCACGAATTCTATCTCCACAGAGGATGTCATTAAGCTGTTGGAATCGTCGTTTAGCCGGGAAGGGCTACCAGAGTTCTTAGTAACTGACAATGGTCCACAATTTGTCTCTGTACAATTTCAGGAATATCTAAAGGAACAGGGCATCCGTCATATATTTTCGTCCAATTATTACCCGCAGGCCAACGGTCAAATAGAACGCCTTAACAGGGTTCTTAAGGGACATTTGTAGGTAGCCAGACTTGAAGGTAAAGATGCCTCGAGGAGCATCACACAATTTTTGAGTTCGTATAAGGTCACACCACATGCGGTGACTGGCCTGTCTCCAGCTTTTTTGCTGCACGGTCGACAACCTCTTTCCAAAGAAGACATTAGCAACTTTAGGATTCGTCCTAAAGTATCGGAGTCGCCCAATGGGTTGCCTCATGTCCGTAATCAGGTTGCAGCAAAACAGAATAAGAGCAAAGGGTATTTTGACAAAAGGAAAGGTGCACAGCAAACCCGCATAAAGGTCGGCGATTTGGTTAAGGTAAGACTCCATAGGAAAGGCTTTTTCAAGTATAGTAGGCCTCTTACAGTGAAGGCTCAGGTTGCGTCGTCCACTTTTCTCCTCAGTGACGGAAAAGTGTGGAATGCATCCAAGTTAACAGTAATTCCTAGGGATTCTTTCCAGAATGCCGCCCTTTCTACTACACCCAAAGAACTTATTTACTCTTATTCCAGTTTAGATCTTTGTGGCAGTCAGTCCCCTGGTGCACCTACATTGCAGGGCTCCACCCCCAGTTTTCAGCCAGACTCTGATTCGTCAGAGATCTCTTATAGTGAAGGGTCTGAATCAGTTGTTCCCCAAGGAACGTTGGGAAGTCAGCAGGACCCGGTGCGGGTACCTTTTTCAAGTAATCCACTAAATCTCAACCCTGGGGAGGGAGAAAGTGAAGGCACTACAAGGTTTTCAAAGACGACTGAACCTGGTCGCACTTCAACAAGTTCTACTTAGACTTCTATACGTCCGCGCCGTCAGACAAAACGACCTGACTGCTCAAAGATTTCGTCACTTAAGGTCAAAAGAGTTCTTCCTATAACGCCGTGGCTAGTGGGCCCAGCCACGACATTGCAGGAGACTTTCAGTTCTGTGTTTTTTTTTTTTTTTGCAGTGTATTTCGTTTCACAAGATGTGTGACGTATCTGTTGTATTAGGCCATTTGTGCCTGTGCGCGAACTGTTCTTCTCCCCGCCGCTCGTGTGGCGTGAACATTCCTTAGTGGAGATCCTGGGACTTTCTCTAGTGTTACCCTGTGATAATGCTCATTTTGTCGACGGGGGGGGGGGGGGGGGGGGGGGATGATGATGATGTTGTGTCGTGGCACCACCTGTGAGTGGCGTGCGCACTGAGTGCGCCCTAGTGTGTACTCTGTTCAACAGATGTCGTCTGTAACGGCACACACATGATTGCATGCAGCCAATCGCGTGTGTCCGCATGTCCATTGTGTGTCGTTCAATAAACGGCCGCTGGCCGGCTCGGTCTTTGTTGGGTTCCCGCGGTGTCCGGTCAACTCACTTCTACTGCGCGTGTCGAGGGGCGTGCCGGTGCAGGTTGCGTCTCTCGTTCAGTCGTCGGGCCCTTGCCGTCGGACGCCGCTCGCCGATACAACAGCGAGCATGTTCACTGCGAACGGATTGACTTTCTGTTGTTGGTCGACGCGCGCCGTACTCCACTCTGACGACCCGTCGCGCAGTTCAAGGTCCTTTAGTCAGGCGGGGGGAACCACAACATCGGCGGGTACAAAAATTTATATCTCTTGTAGCTTCACTTACCCTTTTTACTTGGCGTCCTCTAACTGATGAGGCTGCAAAACACAGCCGTTCTCAGTAACGTTGTCTGCAACCAACGGGCTCGTATGTGAGTTAGGCCTACACCGGTGACTCGGCGACCGCCGTTGACCGCCTCGAGTTCGTTATCCTCGTTGTCCTGAGCTATAGCGGGGATCTTTCTGAAGTTCACAGCGAACGAACCACCGCCACACCCGCTTCACATATTACTGTAGCACGAAACTTCTTTACTGCCGCAAGCAGTCAGTAGCACCATGACAAAATGGCGCATGTCCGTGCGCGTCACGATGGTGAAGCAGACGCCGAAAGCGTCCCTTGGCCAATCGGATGCCTCACGTGCCCCAAGCAGCCAATTGAATCACGCGCTAGTGCTTCTCGATGACGCGTCTTTGCTAAAAAATGAATGAGCAAGGTGAGCCAGCCGTGGCGGGAAATTGAAAATGAAGAACGACCCTTCCAAACGAGACCAAGATGAACACGATAGCTCGTGTGTAACGGCAACAGTTTGGCGCGGAAAAAGCGCGATTTCAGCGTCAATTTGCGCTCACATTCATCTTACAGGGATGTTATAAATTGATTTTGCGCCAGAAATAATGACGCGAGAAGCTAGAAACTTTTCAGATAAGTGCAAAATAGGCACAGATTTCGAAAATGTCAGCTTCAAAAAGTCAATTTTTTTGCCATTTGTGGCATTCTAAGACCCGTGTCCCCCCTTAAGCGATTCTTGAATGTTTCAAATAGATAACTACCCAGTACACATATTGCTTCACTAGATTTAACATGAATGTCCTGGTAAACTTTTTCAGTTTCTCTCAAGCCAAACACAATGTTGCAGGCAGTAATGATTAACCTTTAGCTCTTAATATACACAGTATTTACCCGAGGTAAAGCAGGTACAGTTTGAGCAGAAACCCGCTAGCACGACTTTCTTCCGGGCAGACATGCTGCGGTTCTGTTGGTGGAGCTTAGATTTTTTTCTTGTGTAAGTAATAACTGAGTAATTGAGCATAGCTGAGTTTATACAACTGGATCAAAAGAGGTGTTAAAAACTCGGGGCATTCATCAAGCTGGAAGCAAAAATATTCATCTGTATGGCAAACACTCTTGCAGAAGAGGTTGCAGTTGTGCTACTAAAGCAATAGAGGCAAAAATAGGCAAGACGCAACCAAAAATATTTCTTTTTGTTAACAATTTGTGGCCACAGGGCCCCTACAACATGTGATATATTATTTTAACCCTGAAATTATGAATTGCATATACCAACAGGCTACATGTAGCACTACTGAGTAGATAGAAGTGAAGGCATAAAATAAAGCAAGAATGTAGTAAGCTGGGCCAGCAAGTCGAAATGCATTCTAAAAACAGCACAGAAATCAAGACCTTCTTATGTGCTTCGTGCTGGTTCTTGCACTGTTTTTATGATGAATGAAACAATGCTTTGACAGCCTCAACAATAGAGTAAAGGCACAAAAAAGTGTGAAGCAGAATTGTTAAACCAGGCAATGGTTATAAAGACGTCTCACCATCAGCCCGTCGATCTCCTTGCGGATGTCTCCGATGATGCCAAAGTCGTCTGATCTGGCCAAGATGGCGTCGAGGGAGTGCCGAGCGATGGCTGGAAGAAGGCGTGCTGGGTGACCGAGGCGCACAACCTTCAATGACGTGCACAGCAGCCTCTCCACCAGGTTGTCAACGGCAACGTTCGAAGGGGCGCACACCAACACCTGAAGAGCCAATCGTACTTATCCGCCCGGCTATGCACATACAGCAATTGTGCACCGGCCAATGACCACGGCAGCCCTCCAATGTTTCATTATGCCCAACGATTTTTTCAAAGCTGTAATTATTATTGAGTCTGGAAGCAGATCATTAAAAAAAAGAATGACAGTATCTGTTTCATTTTTTCAAGACTACATACAGAAACCACTGTGCTGGCATGAATTATGAAGCATACTGACCACATTTGGAGTTGTGTGGCCTGGTAAAATTCTGGAAACTTGGTAAGCCCGACCTTGTACGACACCGTAGCCTACTTCTAGCGAGCACAATTTCAGCAAGCCCTAGCACAGCAAGCCCTAGCAGACACGAATAAAATCCAAGAAAAGACCATGTTGGCAGCACCATCCACTTTTCAATGTCGTGCCTGGTTTGAAAAGGCCTACTTTTAAAATCAGGCTGTTCTTTTGATTAACACTGCAGAACAGTAGTTACTGGGCATGTGTGAATATTCAGAACTTAAAATATTCGAACAGATGTTACAATACTTGAAGTCACTATGACATGAACTACCTAAAACTTGGAAGTTTTCGAAATGAATGAACAGGCGTATTGTCTCCTTACTTATTGAACAGACTTATTGTCTCTGCAATAACCCACTCAAAGTAGAAAAATACAAGTACCTAGGAGTCACTTTGACCAAAACACTTACATGGTCAGATCACATTGCCAGCATATGCAAGGCTTCACTTAGGAAACTGGTTTCTTAAAAGGAAACTTAAATGTTCCACGGAGGAGACCAGATTATTGCATAAAATGTTTGTACTACGTCAAAGCTTGAATACGCCTCGGCTGTTTGGGACCCTCAATGTAAAAAAGACGTCGTCTAGCTTGAAAAAGTTCCACGAAAGGCGATCAGATTCATTTGTAGCAAATATAAAAGACACGATCTGCCAACACAAATAATGCAATTTAATGACATCCAAACATTGGAATCTCGAAGGAAAATTAAGGTTAACGTTTCTACACAAAATTATTTTCAGTAAAGTTGCAATAAGTTTGCGTAACTATGTGAAACGTCTATCTTCTTGAAAAACATGACATAATTCACTGGCACCCGTTTTTGCTCGTACTACTGCTTTCGAAAATAGCTTTTTCCCTAGAACTAGTATTGCCGACTTAACAATAAGTGATTTTCAATCTGAAGATACTGAAAAACAACTTGAAGCTTTCTTTGTCTAGTTTAGTTTTGAATTATGTATGAATATGGCGTGTTGGCAGTGGCCGAGTGAATTATTTACAGACTTTGGTGTGTATGTTCATTGTTTATCTGCCGTAACTGCTGGCTAAGAGCTCTATAAGTCGTCCGATTATGTGGTGCGACAGTGTACAACTTTCTATTTTTTGTTGTTGTTGCCCCTCCTGCTAGGGCCTAAGTATAGGCCTGCAAAACCTCTAAATAAAATAAAAAATAAAATAATAAATGACATGCAACTCCCGTAAAGTGGGCTTCACTGCTGCATAAATATGTTAAACCATAAAAACACATTAGAAAAGAAAACTAACTGTCACAAAGCTCCTCGCTAAGGTTAAATGAACACATTACCATAACACCAATTAACCAATTTTTAAGTTCAATAGCTTGTTATACGAGCTATATGCTACAGTATAAGAAATATGAAGTGTAGCATATTTTACTGGTTATAACTCACATTCTACTAAAATTTAATTCCTGCAACTACTATTGATTTTTTAAGCTGAAAACTTCAGCACTACCTAGGACTGACCACAAAAAATAGACGAGACAAGCACTGGCTGTTTTCACCTTCAAGCTGAAGTTTTCCTTTTCAGAGGAATGTACAAATCAGGCCACACTTGAAGAAGGTTAAAATTGCTACTAAAATTATATCCTTCCTGATCATTACAAACTCTAAATCCGTCAACACCGGCCAGGATGTGCATGTTCGCTAATTCTTTTTTTCTAAGGGATGTAGCAGAATGAAAGAAGCCTTGGAAATGAAAACTTATTTGTAGCTTTGTTGTGAACCCCCCTGCTGTAATACCCAAGGGCAATGCGGCGTAATTCTTGAATAAAGAATAAAGAAAGAGCTTATTGTCTAGAGCCCCTGGAAATGGTCACCTAGCTGCTTGCCATTGCATTTCACATGAGGGATTCACTAAAGCCACATGCTCAAAATAACAATGACTGCCAAGCTTTCATGATGGAAGAAATCATTTAAAGAAACATACCTTTGCCGTGTAGATGAGCTGTCACTTACACCTTTAAATAATTTTTTCTCAGGATACAGTTCGGGCAACTTCTTGAGTTCTGACATCATGTTTTTGATACTTCTGAGAGCCAGATTGGGATGAAATCTTGCACACACTCAAGTGAAAAATGCAAGTATCTCCTAAAACTTGATATCACCTGTATAATTGTTACGAACCTCCAGCAAGCAATTAGTATAGTCAGAGCATTCTAAGACTTCTCACATTAAAACTTTTCTTGTCCATAAAATGTATTTTGTGCACATTTTTACTGGTTACTTGCATTCTAAAATTAATGTGGAGCAATATGAGGCCTTAGTGGATCTATTCCATAAAAATTGTGCCCAACGGAACAATATTTTACACACTGTCATGGGACAAAACAAAAAATATGCAACTTACTATAAAACTGCTTACCTATTTTAACTGAGCATAAAAGTCTAGGAACAGAGCAAAAAATTTCGTTTCCCTAGGCTATGGATTAAAGAAACGTTTTTTTCGAGTAGCCTCTCCCCTTAGTACATCAGTTGTTTAAGCTTGAGCGAAAGTAGCGTGCGTGTTAAAGTGAAATGCGATACATTTGAAAGTTTTCCACATAAGCACTCACAGCATTAAAATAAGAAAGGTTAACCAGGCTGCTGGCAATACCTGCACTTAATCGTGAGATGTGACCTTTCATTTTCACAAAATAGCAACTTCATCCTGCACTAAAATTATTTTCTGATGCGAGTGGTCGCTGTCATCAATTACACTTCTCATCTTTGCATCCACTCTCTCACTCTAACCATATGCCATTCGTCTGTCTTTCTCGTGATGTGACCTGCACAGGTCCATCTTTTTTAACTTCGTATCTGCTAGGTGATTGGTTCTCAATCTGGGTCCCGCGAAATTCATGGAGCAGTCAGAACGAGTGCAACTCGCTCCCATTTTGCCCCACTTAACAACTAATTTATTTATTAAGACAAGCAAATTTACACTGCATTTTGCGGTTAATGAAGGTATCACATGCTGCAATTGCACATCAAGTGTCTGTGGGCAGCAAAAGACCCACATGGGAGCAGCACCTAAGCATCATCTAGAGCGAACCATGAAGCTTTTATGATTTGCTGACCATTGGTGATGGCACGAGCAAAGCACTGGTAATTCATGCTCGTGAGCATTAAACCAGTACCCGCAACATGAACAGGCATCTCAGGGCTTTATTCATGGCGTGTCAGCAGTCATAAGATACAGTTTTCATACACAGTGATTTGCCACTGCTCTGAGTAAATTTTTTCATTAAAATGTATAACGAGCACTTTGATATGCACAAGTAAAAAGTTCGGGATTCTGCAGCACTCTGGAAAAGCTGTTGGGGTTCCCCAATGCCTGAACTTCTGTGTTAGCATACTGGCTATGCCCTTTTTTTTTTTCTGACCCCCTGTGCTGTCTTCTAATTCCTTACCTTCTGACGCTCAGTACTTCTCATCTTTTTCTTGAGTGTCTTTGTTTTTTGAGTTTCTCGAGTTTCAAGGTTTTTATCCCTAAATGTTAGAACTGGCAATATTTAGTGGTTGTACAGTTTCCATTCAAGTGAGATGATAAGCTGCCAGTCATGAGTTCAGAATGTCTACTGTATGACTACCAGCCCATTTTGATTTCTCGGTTGATTGCCTTGACACAAGCAGGCTTTCCTCCTGTAAATACTAGGCTTCCATATACACTTCTTTAAAGATTTTAGAGTCAAGCTGTCTTTTGCAAACTCTTGCTCTTTTGTTGGACCACATGCAGTAAGATACATTTATTCATGTGTTCCAAATGCTCTTTGAAATTTTGGAAACCTTAAATTTGTGTTGAATTGTAAATGAACACTGAAACATTAGCTCGAATATTCAAAGAGCTTGAGCATTTCGCGCAAGCCTAGCCACAAGTTTTCACCTTTGAGCCTTGCATGGAACACTGGAGTACGACTTCCACCAAGGTTGTCGTCTTTCCAGTCCCTGGTGGACCGTGGATAATGGCCAGCTCCTTCTGCTTCAGGGAGAAGGCCACTGCCTCCTGCTGTGATTCGTCCAGGTCCTTGTTGAAAAACTCTTTTCGGAAGGAGATACAAGGAGAACACAGCTAGTGCAGTCTTCAAATACGACACAATGGCATGCATAAAAAGTTCACTTGAACCGTTGAAGTACTGAAAGCCAGTTGTGCGCTCTGCGGTAGCCCATTGCGTGCCACTCGCCCTGCACCGACGCTTCCATGTTACGCAACATCTAGTGGTCAAGAGTCAGATGCAGACAAAGAATAAGCCCTTCTTGAGATGCTTTACTCTTAGCAGAACACACGGAGCACTCGCACAGGATAAAGCAACGATCAGGCCTCCACAAAAAGAGCTAGTACAATTGGCCTCTCATGCACCAGTGGTGTATTACACCCGGCAGCCAGGCTATCAGTGTAATCACGTGCAATCAACTAAATCAGTGTAATCAACTGATTACAATGCACTTTGCTAACTTTGCAGCAACCTCGCAGGATGACCGTGACGACGCCGTTAACATTCTAGCAAGTAACCGACATTGCATTCTATCTGTGGGCGGAACCTCCCCCGTCTTATCTGTGCATCTTATCGCAAAATGCTCTTGGCATCCTCCGAAACATGAGTACTATTAAATTCTGTGTGAATGCCACGTTTTTTTATCGGAACTCGGTTGTAAAAAAAAAAAAAAAAATCAGGCTGTCGGTCATGCGATTGCGTGCTGTTTGTTGGTAGTTTATCGCTCATGCCAGGAGCCTCAGTTGTGTTTATCAAGCCGTGGTACTACTACATAGAAATATTATTATAATTCTATTTAAATATTACTATCACATAAACTCTGAGACTTTGTTACACTGTACTTAAAAAAGAGTTACTGTGGGCAAACCTGTGCTTAGATCTAAGAACGCTTTAACGAGCGCAGACGTTGGAAATTAATTCAGACAGCATGCCTTATATATAATGTCATATAATTTCCCTGAAAATATTATCTTTTTACATTGTCTTCAGCATTTGTGTGGTATTGGTAGCGACCGACAGAAGGCAGTGGTAATTTTTTGCCCGGAAAAAAAAAATGCTTGTCCCATTAAGCAGGTTTTTTTGTAGCACCGTCATGCACGTAATCTATCAATGAAAGCTTTCTGCTGAACTCTCATATAAGATTCTTACTGATGCAAGAACATGTGCGTACACGTGGTGAACACAGTGTAGCCCAAAGCGTCATCAGCCACCAAGCTTTCCTGACTAGACTTGTCGACTGTCCCACATTTCATAATGAACAGAATGAGAGAAAAAAAATCATATGTGTATAAGGTGCAAACGGTGGTATTGAACTAATCGCACAGATATGCGGGCTTTCTACAATCTTTATTTATCTTTTTTTTGCATAGTACGCAGATGACAAAGATGTAAATAAGTAGTTCAGTCACGCTACAGCGGTGCTTAACAGGCGAAACACAAGCTAACCCCGTACAAACAACACAGCAAATGCCTGATTTCGTGCGAAAGTGTGAAGAGAGCCACCCAGGGCGATCATCTCTATGCGAAATGCGCTTTACTTGCGGATAATGTTAACGTTGCATAGGCGTCGTGCACCGATTCAGTATAGAAGGGCGTAGATATTAACAGTAAACTGTAGTCAACGCATTTTATTCACTGACAATCGGCTCAGACCACATGCAACGAAGCGCTGCTGCGTGTGTGGAACACTCTTTTTGCCAAAGGGCAGCATATAATCCGAGTAAAACCTTGCATGCTAATCGAAGTCTTTTGAAACGAGGCTCTCACATGATACAAAGTTTCTGGGTTTGGAACAACCAACAAGAAAGTGTGTTCTTTTGCCCACAGCACTTGATTTGAATTCAGGTTAGGTCCAAAATACTACACCGCAACAAATGTCCCCTCTGCCTTGTTTGGCCTAAATGCCGGTTGGATTCATCCCATCATTGCCAGCCTGTCCAGTGTGGAATGAAGGTCTCTTTCAATTATCTCCAGTTTTCTCCTGTGTGAGCCGATTCCAATTTATCCCTGCGACCTTCCTAATTTCGTCACTCCATCTAACTCTCTGGGTTCTCCGACTGCCTTTTCCATCCCCTGGTAACCATTCTGTTGTCTGGACTCTCCACTGGAACTTTTGCTTGATGTAAGCTAGCATATCCACAACTCCTCTCTTACCCTTTCTGCAGTCCTCCAACCTCTCAAATGTTCCATTGCACACTGCATTGTCCTCAGCTTTTGCTGTAGTGAGCATGCGCGCCCATGCTAGTCTGCAGCGCGGCCATGAGGACAAACCAGTCCTTCAGAGAGCAGCACTTGAGCCTCCTTACAAGGACCCTTCACCTTGCGGCCGGTGTACACAGTCCCCCCCCCCCCCTTCCCAGCGCACAGGATGGGTTACTTTTTCTCGACAGGAGAAACGACCCTCACTGAGCAGAGAGAAACCGGATGTGCAAAAAAACTAGCGTGGAGACAGCAAGATGCTCTCTTTGACACCGGCAGGTGGCCACAGATGTTCTACCTCCAAGACCCCTGTGAGCCACGGCCAAAGGAGCAAGCCTTGCTTTTTTTATCTCTGCGCAGACTGAACGATCCCTCTACGCGACATTTATGCATTATTGCTAACAAAGTAAGAAAATGTTGTCTTGTTGACCAAGCCCGTTGCCTTATTCGCCTGAACCCATCGTAGCTGCGTTCGATCGCGCTACAAGGGGTCACTAATACACACACGGTGCAGCTGTGTGCAACTGGAACCGTAGCTAAGCTTCTACAACTGCTATGCACAGAGTGGACCCTTTCAAGTTGTTTTGTTAATCTCCATGTTTCAGCCCTACGTCAGAACTGACAGTATGCAGTGGTAGTTTACTTCTCGCTTTAATGATAGTGGCAGATTTACAGACACTATTTGGGAATGCTGCTGAATGTTGCTGAATGCACTTCAGCACATTCGCATTCTTCGGTGAATTTGTTTTTTGTGATTAGGTTCCCCCATAAGTAGTTGCCCTCCGTATACATATTCTTGTTTGCACTCCAATGTATGGTTCTCGGTCTTCAACTTTTTTTCGGTTTTCGCCAGGCTATCACACATTATCTTTGTTTTTCCGTATTCATTTCGAGCCCTACCTTATATTAAAAGAAGTCAACATAACCAACGTTGTTATACACTGCACAGAAATGCACAAGTGATGGAAAGATCACATTTCAGATTCACAACTAAGGATTCATTAAACCACTTCTGACCTGTGGAATAAAACTCTTTCACAACAAAATAAAGAGCAGCCTCGAAATTTGGATATGAACCAGTTCCACATACAGATCAGACCTAAAATCGGAATCATGCCTTTTCTGAGCTACATAAATAAGTAAAACGCACCGATAGGCTTCTGGGAGGTCGTTATTGGTGCTTCAGTTGAAGACACTGTACCGAACAGAATCTCAATGAGGTTGCAATACCTTGTTTCCCTGGTTTTACGGAGCTTTTCCAGTGTCCTGCACAAGAGAAACAAACTCAGACTGAGTGTTTGATTTGCTCATAGTGTTAACAAACTAGTGTTAACAAACTTGAGTTAATCATTCCCTTTTGCTTATAGGAGTCTTACATTTCTACGTCCCAAAAGCATGGCACGGTTATGAACGATGCCACAGTAGAGGGCTCTAAAAATTTCAACTATGCGGTGTTGTTTAATGTGCACCTAAATCTAGGAACACGAGCCTGTAGCATTTCACCTTGATTGAAATGTGTGTCCCCCCCCCCCACCCTCGCCCGGCTGAGATTTGATCTCACAATCTTTTGGTTATTAGTCGAGCACTGTACCAGCTAGACCGCCACAGTGGTTAAAGGCTTGAGCTTAATTTCAACTAGCTCAATGGTTCTTTTTTAATTTGCATATAAATACACAAACATGTCTGCATTTTGCCATCAAAACTTTACTAAAGCAGCCAGGATTGCTCAGCTACTGAACTGCCGCAGCGAGTAAACACATGTCAAAAAAAGTATGAAACCGAAAACCACAATTGAAAACACACAGCTAGAAGCTCCCAATAGCAGGGACATAGCGATGTATGCGAGGTAGCACAAAAATAATAGAATATTGCAGCAATAAACCATACGCATGGAAACCCTATTAACAAAATATCTATGGAAGGACAAGCACTACTCACACACGAGGCACACACCAAAGGTCTATGTGCATGCAATGCAGATCAACATTGCTGGCACAGTTGAATGAACGAGGAGTTTTCAGGTCTCGTTTTTCTTACTTTTTTTCTTACCTTTTCTTACATGGGGGGATGTTATTACTGGTAAATGTAATGTAAATGTGAAGAAAAAAAAAGTGGACGGAAAGATAACCTGCTAAGGGCAGGGATTGAACCTGTGACTTTCAAATAATGCATCTGTTGCTCTACCAACATAGCGTCAGTGGTGATTGCCTCCTTATCCACTTCATTGAATATATACAGAATGTTTTTTTTTTTGTTCAGCAATACACAGTTTTTCTTAAAAAATTATAATAGTTAGCACTTCTTCACAGACAATTTCTCAACTACGACGGAAAGATTATCCCACTAATTATATTACTCAAAAAAATTAACAAAATTATTTCAATTAACTTTTAATTATAACATTTTGGGTGGTTGTTTACATGAGGCAGTTGTTTCACATTACAAATTATCACTAGCCCAGTTTACAAAAACCTGAAGTATCGCGCGCAGAGTCAGAAAATTTCTGGACCACGGTGCGAGAACTGGGTGCGCCGGAAGGGTTGTGCCAGTGTTGCATCAAGCGCAAACTTCCTTTTATGGAATTGCAGCGAGATGCAGACTTATCTGCCTCCGTTTCGCATGCATCTGCGTTATTGCACTTTACGCACGTTCTCTTTAGCATTACAATGCTAAAGAGAAAAACTACATTTCGTATGTTCGAAAATTACTTTTTCACAATTCCAATATCGCCATGTTCGCTACGAAAACACGCTTGGTGAGAGAGAAAATGCGCCAAAATAAAATGCAGGTGTAATTCGCGCACCAAATGTTGTGACATCATAAATTTTGACAATATCTACTAGGTCCTATATAGTTCCAAGTCAGTAAAAATCATATAGACCCATTCCATGTTTGTAAACACAGGTAGGCTACATTATGAGTAAAATTATAGTGACGTCCGCACGTAACCTTTGCCATAAGCGCTGAGGGCTGCGATGTGCGCCAACGAAACGACGTTGTGAGATGCCATAAGCGTTGTGACAGCCATAAGCGCTTACGGCTGCGATGTGCGCCAACAAACAAAACTAAGTTGTGAGACGCGACTCACATCCAACCACAATGCAGTTCGTCGGCATACCGTTTTTTTTTTCCTCATTGCTTGACTGAAAACACCACATGCACTATTGAAAACCCAGCAGAAACTGCGTTAGGCAGAGAGTCTTTTGCCTACCAAAACAGCGCCACCGCATTTTCGTGACGTAAGTCCGGTGAAATTCGTCTATAGTACATCGTCCTCTTGGGGAGGGAGGAGGGTGGACACGAAATTAACAATGTTGTTTCAGAAAACTTCGTTGAGCCAATATCTGTTAAATACGAAATATACGATATGAAATCTCTGATGGAGATTTACACATGGAGATTTTAGAATGAAATTTGAAAATAATACTTTCACCTTGATTTTCTCTTTAATTAATAACCCAACAGTGCTTATAGTAATGACATTAGAGTTCTCAAAATTTATGCTACTAATTATATCACTCAGAAATAATTAACAAAATTATTTCAATTAACTTTTTATTATAAGTTCTGGGGTGGTTGCTTACAAGAGGAAGTTGTTTCATGACATTAGAGTTCTTAAAGTATAATCTACCAATCTCAACCAATTAATTGTGTTTCTAGAGTGTCTGTTTAAGAATTCATTTGCAAGCTTTAGCTTGTGTCAGCCCAACACCTCATCCTCAACTTTTACAGGTATTAAAGATATTAAATATTGCGAGCATGATCTTGCACAACCAAAAAAATAATTTTTCTACTTATAGTGAGACCTATGCAAATCGTTACTACACCCTCATGTGAACCACGTGTGATGGTCCATGAGCCTGATGCGAGAAGACTGGCAGTATGGTGAAAGTCATACAAGAAGTGGCTCAACTCATTCCTGTGGGTCTTTCAGATGAGCTTATGGTGTCAATGTTCATAACAGCAATAGGAAGGAAAGCCTACAGAACTCTGAATAAGAGCTTTGCTGGGCCACTGCGGGCTCCCACCTGGATGCAAATCAAGCCAAGACCAGTGCTGGCTAAGCAAGACCGGCATGTCCAATATCCCACTTGAACACCAACTAGCCCAGCTTTCAATCCTTGTCCAATATTGTACTCTTTTTGCAGGCTAACATCGAAAGTACATTTGAATGTTTAGCCTCACTTGCCCGCTGTTGCCCTTCGCAGTGAACACCAATGCTTAGGTATCCCTACCAGCCATCAACATCTGTGTGTGCGTGTGCCCCCCCTCCTTGCTTGTCATCAAGAACGGTGACTTTTATTCTGAATGTTTGGTCTGTACTCTGTTAGTGTTTTTTAGTCAAGTCCTGTTCATGTTGTGAATTTTTTAAATGTTATTTCGTATGCTGTATTTCTGTATATTTTGTAAATATATTTCAGTGTCTATCTGTTAACGTAACTGATATGGTTGGTTGTGGATAATGAACAGAAACATGACTCAGTAAATGACAAACACATTTATTAAGCATACCACCGGCACTCTACAATGTACAAATGTATAAAATAAGTACTGAGCAATAAAGCTCAAACCCAAACAACACATAAATCACACTACTAGCTTAACTACCCAAATTAGAGTCAGACATCTTTAGCCTCACTATTCGCACCGACCTTACTTTACCGAGCAGATTCGCTGCTCATGAATGTGTGGGATCAGTTGCCCTGTGTTCTCAATGTTCCTGAATGTCGCCGTCCCTGCTGCTGCTGAAGTCATCCATCGTCGTCATTGTGCGACGTCTTCCCTGACGTGTGAAGCTTCCATGTTTAGGCCTGGCGGCGTTGGCGATACCCGGTACAAGCTGACGTGGCCCACTGGGGACTGTCTTCAACGCACTGCTAGGAAAGGGCTTGCGTCAAACGTCAAAGGTGGCCGTGAGTGGCTGCTGCATCCCGGACCACACTCGTACCGTGTCTCTGGCCATCTCTCAGGATGCCCACATGATATACTTCTGAGTCGAAGTCCTGCCATTTTCGTTGACCATGCCAGCTCGTTGTTGCTTGCGTTCCGATCACAGCTCGAGCCGCACTGTCCGCACCTCGTCGTCGTCTTTCACTGGCACAAGTGGTCTCGACTTCCTCAACGTCACCGAGTTCTTTCAAACCTACGCGAGAGTATCTTATCTCGTGAGGCACCTCAGTCACTTTGAAATGTTAAACCACATCAACCACGAAAGGAGCAATGAGTCTCTGCAAATGAGACATCCCCACAAACCTTAAATCTTTCCCAACTTAAGCTCTCACAGCTCCCCTGGCATAAATTAAGTTGTTGTCACAGTTCTCTCACCCCTTGAAACTTGACTAAGCATGGCAGCTCGGTCTCATTATACATCAATAAAATATCGACAATAATACAAGCTAATAGGGTGCATTACTTTCTCATACTTTTTCATAAGATCCTGATACAAACATTTTTTACGGGCTCATCCTGCATGACCAGGCTGCATTGACCATTTTCACATTGTTTGGTTAAATTATTTATCCTCATTGTTTCACGCTACCTTCACTTCATCGTGTCAATGCCTTCAACAAAGAGATTACCCAGCACTGTCAGTTTATGCAGTGCCACTGCAAGAATGTTCCAACATCTATAAACTATTTATTAGCAAAATGCTTGTTCTTTCTTTTGTTTTCTTCCAACTATAATTCTGCACTTGCTTGGGCAACACACACAGTGGAAAAAATAAGTTCCTGCTGTTGCGAGAACACGCTGTTCCTCGGTGCACAAGCTATCTTTTTTGTCTGCTTTATCAAATAAACACACCTTGCTTATATGCGTCCAATATGCAAGAAAGAAAAATAACAAGTCCCCATCATGGATTCATGTTAATAACATTGCTTAAGTTGCCTATTACCCAGAATGACAGGCTGTATATCCGTCAATTCTAAATGAATCATGCGTGTATTTGTTCCTTTTCCTGCTACATACTACATTTCATAATAGGAAATGATAATGAAAGATAAAAGCACAACAGGGCATACATCTACTCTTCAGTGAAGCCTTTTTGGCCCTAAACTTGCTGCCTGCAAGAGAACAGGTACAGTGAACTTTGATGGGCTGTCAAAGCTCTTCGTTTGTCTGCAAAAAGAATGTGGTAGGTATTTGAACCCTGCTGTCTCAAGGACTCGACTTTGATTTTATCATTCTACATGAATCATGTATCATGTTGTATCAATAACAGACCCTTTGTTATTCAAGACTGCAATTTCTCAGCAATGCTTGTAACTATACGCAGTTTCCATTATCTATCTTTGTCTTGTATGTGCCTGAATTCTTATACATTTTTAGTTGACTTATGTTGCCTTCCTGATTTGCGCATCTGATACTTGTTTCTTTATTTTGTCTTTTTTTCTTGTGTGTTATATATGTTGTACCCACCCCCTCTGTAATGCCCTACGGGCCCTGAGGGTATTCTAATAAATAAATAAATAAATGTCTGTGTGCTCGTTAACAAAACATTTGCTACCATTACAATTTGCTACCATTAGCCATTCGTACATAACTGATGACTACCCTCTGTCGTACGCATCATCCTACAAGTACCTCGGTATTCATTTCACACCAAATCTTTCTTGGTCACACCATATCACCACCATTTGTGCGAAAGCTTCAAAATCATTGGGTTACTTCCGCCGCAACTTGCATAGCTGCCCATCCCATGTTCGGCAGCTAGCTTATCAGACCTTCGTTCGACCACAACTTGAATTCGCCGCATCGATCTGGTCCCCATACCAAAATTACTTAATCAACATGCTTGAAGCTATTCAAAATAGGGCAGCCCGATTCATCTCACGAAATTACGACTACAATAGCAGCATAATGGAAATTAAACTTTACCTTTCTCTTGAACTGTTGAGTACTCGGCGGGATATTTCTCTCCTATGCCTCTTCCATAAGTATGTTTACAGTAACAAACCATTCCCATTCCAACTCTATAAACCTTGCGTTACATCTCGTAGGCTGCATAATAACTTAAGTTTTACGCGATTATATGGGTCAACGGACGCCTTTAACTCATCGGCTCTTCCTCGCGTCATCCGCTTGTGGAATGATCTCTCGAATGACATTGTATATCAATCAGACCCCGAAAAATTCAGACAACTTCTTCACTCTTTCTTTCAGTCATAGACACTTCGATTGGTTCCTTTTTACAAGTATTTGTTGCACCTCCTGTATCGTTCCAGTGTAATTATATTCATTCGTTTTTTTTTTTTCCATTTCCTCCTGCTTACAGCTTAGGGCCTTGTGTTCGTTCAGTAAAGAGCACGCGCTTTTTTTTTTTTTTTGCTTCACACTTTGTGACCGCCTGCATTTTCCTACTTTATAATGTTCTTATACACACGAGCAAAACTCTCTTATCGCCCTTTATTATCCTGTATTTCTTAAACAAGAACAAATTGCTTTCTGCGCGCTGCTCTAAAATATTTTTGGCTACGTGTGTGCTAGGTGTTTTTTAGTAAGTGTATTGCGGATATTTGTTCTCCTCCCACCAGCAATGTTCCGATGTGTAACTTCAAATGACTTTTTGTACATTCTCTCTTTAGTGACATATAACGCGTTATTTTTTGTTGAGTTCTTTCAAAGTTTGATGTTTCCTTACGGTTTTGTCGCGACACTCACCCTTTGTAACCCCCCTTACACAATGCCCTGCAACAAGGGCCTGTAAGGTATTTTTAAATAAATAAATAAATAAACAAGCACTGCCACTTCGTCAAGCAGCTGAATGCACCAACTTTTAGCGACTGAGACTGCCCATCATGCTAAAGAAAAACAAGTTAAGTGCATTTAGAATGTGTAACAGAGAATCACTATTTAGATTAAATCAACTTGCAAGACCTTTTTAGCCTCCTGTAGGTGACGTCATTGGCAAGCTTGAGCAAGTTGAAGATGCGTCCATCGTCGGCGTCGAGTGTGTCCCGACCTTCGTCAAATGCAAGAGTGATATTCGTGGATGTGACACTGGAAACGACGCCTGAGCAGATAACTTCTCTGGTTGCATCACTTGCCACCACCACGCCAACAATATCACCTGGAACAGACCACACATATGCATTAGCAGCACAAATCATGCTGATATGCTGGCTCAAAAAAATTGTGACCCCAATTTGTGAAGCAACAGTGCAGACATAACTGCCTCGGGGTTTTGTACCTTCACTACATTTTCTTCAGACAATGTGAGCGCATTTGCTTGCACAAGTAGCATTTGCTACTTATTTGAATATCTGATTAGTTCAAATCCCTTGATACCCAATTTCTATTAATTTATATTGCAGTCTACTAGGTATATGATTTATTATGTTACACTATCACATCTGATGGAATTTTCAACGAGCCGTTGACAAAAGCAATGGGAAAACTATTATAAACTTTTTATTTCTCACTAGGCTTTAAGTCAATCAGTAAATTATCCTATACCCGTGATTTCATTCATACTATGCAAGAACTTGACAATATTCAGAAAATTATTTATTTACTTTGTAATCATCATGGCTCACTAAAAGATGTGCAAAAAATAATCTTGCCCCTTCAGATCTTTTGCAACAATGAGTCTACCGCTTTGTAATAAGTGCATATTAGAACTGCTTAGGTGCTGTAAGTACACAAAAGAAGACGACGAAACAAAGCTCCAAAAGAGTGTCGACAGATGGACACTCTGTCCCGCTCTCTCCTCTTACGGTGTGTGCTTTTCTAACCCAGATACGAGGTTCCCAGCAAGTTATTTTGAGCAACAATTGTAATAAATTATTGGAAATTTTATGAATTTGTTCACAGTCCATTGGTGATTGCTAGAGGCCGGATTTTTAGCCAATAAAAAAGTGTGTTTTAGGCACCAAAGACAGGCAAGTAAAACACCGTTTTAGACCCTTAAGATAATACATAATTATAGACACAAAAAATTACAACAAAAATTGAAATATCCCAAAACAATGACGTCGGTGACTTGTATCTGCGGCAAGAAGCAAGAAAAAGTTCTATTGTTGAACCAACGATTGATAATGAAAAAAAATAAATAAAAAATGATTATGAAGTGTACCATCGATTGAACATAGGCATGCATTTCCTGTGCGATTTGCGGTATGTGGTTTTTCATTTCGTTGTTTAGCATTGTGTGTCAAGTGTCCACCATTTTATTAACTCTCCTGGGTCTCTTTCATTTCGTTGTGGTTAGAAAGGGCAGCGCAGGAGCAAGTAACCAGACCACTGATACCCCAGAAAAGAGGGATGCTAGGTCTAATCGCATAGGTTTGGGCATTTTGAGCTGACAAGAGCAATGGTGCACTGGGCGCTTTGGATCATTCCGGTTGAGATTTGCAAAATTACATGTCGTAGAAAAACGCTCAATGTGTAATGAATGCCACTTGCCCTTCTCGCGGGTGTGCGCCCCAAGATCTGGGAGTGACGTACAGCAAGGAATGGTCCTGTTTTTACGCCACTCCTTTACGTTGACATTGATGGGCTGACGTCACATACCATACGCTCTTCAGAACTTCGTCAATATGGTTTGGTTTGGTTTGCTTTATTCAAGGCAAAATTGAACAAGATTGCCTTGGGGGACATGACTAAAGGCTAAGTAAATGCCTGACTTGGTCGTTCCACCCTGGCAGCAAAGCAGAAACATACGGCAAGTACAGTACGCAGAAAATTACAACGTCACGTGTTATTTTACACAAGTACCATAGTCGAACAGGAACTGCCAGAAGTGTGAATAAAAGAATAGAAATATAAACAGTCCTTATTCGAGTGGTGGCAAATACAAACAAAATGCATTTTTTCTATCGAAATAATGTTTCCTAATTGCTAGCTATATCTAGAAAAACAGACGAAAAATGTCGAATCTCCTGGTTATATCCTTCATTTTAAACAGTACCTTATTAGGAGCGTTGAACGTGACATTACTCTACTTGGCATGTGCAATTTGTGTGTTCTGTTGTGTAGCATGAATTGGGAGTACTTGGGTTTGGGTTAGCTGCTTCATATCATTTTGAAAGGGAAGCACAAAGACAAAAGGAAAAAAAAAAGACAGCGCTCTTTGTCTCTATGTCTTTATTTCCCCTGCGTCTTTGCACTGCCCTTTCAAAATCAGTATAATGATTAAAAGCTGAGAAAAATAATAAAATACGCGAACGGCATCTCAGCTTCTTATTATTCTTATTTTTGTTCTGAATAACCTCAAGATGCTATTCACTGATAGGCCCCCGCTTCGCCTCCGCCTCAGTGGACGTGTCACTATAGGATGCTCCGCTGCTGACCCAAATGCCGCGGGTTCGATTGTGGCCGCGGCGGTCATATCTAGATGGAGGCGGAAAAGTAGATGCCCGTGTACTGTGCGATGTCAGTGCACGTTAGAGAACACCAGATGGTCAAAATTTGCGGAGAGCTCCACTACATCATTGTGCTTTTTTTTACGTAAAACCACACTTACTATCATTGTTACTACTATTACTATATACTACTACTACTGCTACTACTACTATGATTGCTACTACTACTACTGATACAACCACCACTACTACTACTACTACTACTACTACTACTACTACTACTACTACTACTACTACTACTACTACTACTACTACTACTACTACTACTACTACCAACACCCCATTTTGCTCGCGTTTGTCCTCATTCCATGAGTGGCCCTCCATGGTTTATCATTCGTTCTCCAGCTACCTGCGGCCAACTGCCCAAAAAAACCTGCTGTTCCTGTCCCACCGCAGCACCCAGGTTTTCAGGGCGGTTCTTCAGTTTCTTCAGGGCACTGGACAGCTCTCTGTAGAAGGCGTTCGCCGCATCCTCGGCCATAGACATCACTTTTATTTTCTTACCCCATCTTTAATCTCTCTCCTCCTTCCCCTGCAGACGCTCAGACATGCTTCCACTTAGGTCTGCAGAAATAGCGTCTTTCGCACTCCTCATGCTCCTCCTCCAATCGCTCCCAGCATGTCAGCTTTGTCTTCGTTGAACATTATAGTGTTTGAAAATATTAATGTTGCTCTTTTTTACATAAATAAAGGTTTCACATCATGCTCGAAAGAAAATTTGGGCTTGAACAGTGCTCATATAGGCGCTCATTTAGAAAACAGGCCTTTATAGGCACTTATAGGCATTTAGGCACGAACACCCAAAATAGGCATATAAAGGCACTATAAAAACACCATAAAAGCCCTTATGAACCTCTAATTCATGCTCATATATCAAAATGGCATGACAGGAACGCAAAAAACAAAATAGGCATTTGTTTATAATCCGGTCTCTAATGATTACACATGAAGGAACACCAGGGAACGCAAAAAACAAAATAGGCATTTGTTTATAATCCGGTCTCTAGTGATTGCACATGAAGGAACACCAGGAACAACTTAAGAAACATCCACCAACAGCTTAGCAGTGCAGTCGCACAAGTCTTCTGGCTATGCAGGTTCATAACAGGTTCATGTACAGCTCTCATAAGCTAGAGCTTTCCTGTTGTTCGCGGGGTTGTGGCATGTCATCCCACACTTGCAGCGACTGTAGCTGGCAAGACACCAACTCTGCTGGCACAGTGTGTTGCAGACAAGGTCAATTTCTCTCCAATCTATTGGACGCGGGGCCCACCACTGGAGCTATGGCTGTGAGGTGCAGGGTTGAATCACATGATCTTGCCTCGCTGTAATGGAGGTTGGAAGTGTTGTTTTTAACCGCGACGGTGCGGTGTTTTTACTTTTGAACAGCGTTGTTTTGCTCTCACTCAATGTGTGCAGACTTCTGTACAATACACAATCTGGAAAGTTACAGTAAAAGTTATTGGCGCGACATGCCACAGTGCACTACGTACGCAATGCCACTGTCATGGCCGCTGGCAGTGCCACTCCCTTTCTTTATTGTCGTAGTTGTTATTTCAAGTCCATGGGGTTAAAGTTTCACATAAAAGCAAAACGTTTCATTTCCCACAAGGGAGCCTCGTTCACAAGGAAAAATGAATGTGCAAACTGTTCGATTATGTATATTTTACTATACAACATACGTCCGCACATGTGGGTCATTACATTGCAGAATGTGTGATGTTGTCAGAGAGTCAAGATAAAGACAGGAAGTCCACTTCTTTGCCTTCAATTTTCGTTAATTTTACCACATTCCGACCTCTCTCATGGCTTCTGCATGTTTGGCCAGTGCATTCGACAACACCTTCTTTCTTAAACTATACATGTGTCGCGATACATGTCTTCTCTAAAGCTTACATCTCTCGCCAAGGTAACTTTTACTGCAGTCTGCGCCACCTGCCACCTTCCCTCCCGGGTGTCCATCCCTATGTGTGTAAACGACCACACAGATTTCCATCCACCAGTAGCGTAGCCAGGGAGTAGCCCACAGAAACCCCTCCCTGTCCCCCCCAACCCTCTTCCAAAATTTTTTCCCATTGCATATCACACAGTAAATAACGATCGACCACATCAGCCTGCCAGGTCCCCAATTCTAATCAAGGTGGTGCCCCCTCAAAAAACTTTCTGCCTATGCCCGTGCCGTCCACGACTTCAGCCCACTATACTCGGTTTCATCACTGTGGTAACGTAAGAAAGCCACACGTTTGCGCAGCAAAGCATAGTCCCAGATATAAGTGCTTTAAAATTGACGGGGTTGAATAAAATTGGTTTGTTCGGCGTGTGTTACGACACACTGATACGTGATATGCTTATTGTTTGCATTTATTTTGTATGCATTGAATTATTTGTGTTGTTACCACCAAAAACTGTGTTTACAAATCAACATGGCAGCACCCACACAGAACAGACTGGCCGCTTCGATTCAAACTTGCTGCACGCCCGCTGCATCGAAATCAACAAATAAATAGTGAAATCAGCCATCAATTAGTTTCCCCTCACTCTGAGGATAAAGTATCAGGTGCATTTTGTCATTATTAGTGATATATGCTGTTTGCTTAGCCACACCTGCTAAGCCTAATGCTCTTGAGCTGAGTCACCAGACCAACAATGCTGCATCTCCAACGGGACATGCAACCTGGCACAGAGTTTCATGCCCGTCAGATCCTCC